GGCGGCTTGATGCCATTCTTCTATGGGGGGTNCGGGTGGTGCATTTTTTTCCTTACCCTGCTTTGCTGAACCGTTTTTTTCTTGCACTATCTGCTTCTCTTTGCTGATCACTTGGCTACACACACACACACACACCGCCTCGCGTGTGTTGCCCTGAACGCAAGACCCGCAAGCATGGCTCATGATCCAGCCTTTGCTGAATTGCTGGAGCGCCTCGAGGAAATAAAGGAATTAAATCTGAGTCCCGAAGACAGCGCGTCGGCACTGACTCGTTTGCTCGAGGAGCGACGAGCAGAGCGGGAGAAGCGACAAGCAAAAGCACAAGCACAAGCACAAGCACAAGCACAAGCAGAGCGGCAGCGACGAGCAGAGTGGCAGCGGGAGGAGCGAAACGCAGTGGTTGGTTGATCAGGTTTTCCCGCCGCCCCTCGTGTCCACAAACGGCTGTCTAACAACGCAAATGTCTGGAACGAAGGACTCACGGCGTACCCTCACTTTGTTTATGGCTTGTCAGCTCGAGTGCCTCGTGCGAGATTTTGCGCCTCCTCAAGGCTATAACCTCGTGAAGCATCTAGCAAGCATGTCGGTCGACAAAGTTTCCTTTTTGTACACTCTCTGCAAGAAAAACCTTCTTACTTGCGACCAGCTTGAAATCTATCTGCACATTCCTGGTAAAGCATCGCTCGCTGGCTTGGCGCTCGACAGGCGACGGCTGTTTCCCGCCTGCCTGTGCGTATGGACTCGGTGCTCAAGCTCACTTATGGTGCCTTGGGGCCGTCAATAATTCTTAGAACACAAGTGGACCCCGAAGGGAGCCTCGTTGCCCTCGAACGTGGAGGCCAAAGTGCCCGAGCTGCCCCCCTCACGAACCCCGAAAATGAGCGACATCAACGACGACGTTGAAGAAAAATTTCATTTTGGCATTGTGCAACTACCTCCGAGCTGTCATTACCTGGCTCTTGAGATTGTCCAGCGAGCTCAAAAGCTTTTGTCTGCCAATCTGCCTCAAGAAGGCATACATACGAATTTGCTCCGCGCGTACACAAATGCATGCCTGAAAAACAGCGAAGCGCAGAGCCATGAGCCACACTTCTCGTCACTGATTACACTGGCTTTGCAGGACCACTTCAATGCCCCTGCCCTTGCTGCGACTTCGGCCCAGGTTGCTGTCTCCAGCCCATCTGAGACGGAGCCGTTGGCTGACACAACCGCATCCACCCTCGCCACCAAGCAGGCGTCAGTGAGAAACCCCATTTACTTGGTACACCAGGCATCTCTTGGCTCAGCCAACATGCACGCTGACTGGGTGGGGTTTGACGTCCTGCTGCGACCCGTCATCGTGGGCGAGTGCAAAAAGAGCGCCCAGCACTTTCACGCTTTTGGTGGCCAAGTGGGCAATCAGGTTGTGCGCCTTGGCCTCTTGGGACCGAAATACCAAATGCGAAAGGACAGGCAGCACCCACTTCACCCCTTCATCAACATTAATGTGTGTGGTGACATTGTGACTGCTTATCTGGTCCTGCACTTGACCAGCAGGAACATGGTTGCCATGATTCAAAAGATGAAGGGCCTTGAGAAGGAATACTACGTGGCTTTTCTCCGACTTGGATCCGCCCAAATCTCCAAAAACCGCGCCGACCATCAGGCTGTCTGGGCGCTTTTGACCGCTTGCAGAGAGTTTGTGACGGGTCGCCAGCATCAGATTATTGAAAGCGGTCATCGATTTCCGCTTTCCTCCGAGCCCTTTCCCTGCCCGGCTCGGGGCATGGCCGGATGGACCTGCAACGAAACGTACGGGCCCCATGTGCGGCAGTACGTGCATGACAGTGCGGGCTCGTGGGTCATCAAGCACTACGACA